ATTGCGAAGATATGTTCTGAAGTAAGCATTGTTGTTGTATTTAATACTAGTTGTATTTTGGGTTGATCATGTAAATATTCTACCAAAGCATCTTCATGTGCCTTCCCAAGTGACCTGTTCCCTGGTTTTCCAGCTATTTGGTTAGGTTTTTAAGTTACGGTTCCCAGTTGGGCTACTTGCTGCTTCAGTTGTAATAAGATCTCAGTTAGGTTTAAAGTTTTTAGTCTCATAATAATTAAATATTGTACATGAGTAAAAATGAAGTTGAATATATATAAAAACATATGACAGACAAGGATGGCCATAAGGGGAGTTGTGGGGACATCATTTATTCATCCCCATGGATTTTAAAGAACCTTGAATAGCTTCCCTCTTTTAATTAATAAAGACAACCCATTACACTGTGGATCATACCCATGAAAGATGTTCATCATTTCTATTATAGGCTGTGGCAAAAGTGGTTTGATAGTCCCTGTGTCTTTGACTGTAGATTCTTTTAAAAAAAATTCATACTAGGAACTCATCATCCTGTGAACTCATCATGTGAACTTAGTATAATTCGAACTTATCATACCGTGATTGAAATTTGGAACACCTTAAATTCAAAAAGCCTGGCTGATTTGGCTTCTGTTTCCATACAAGCATATCAGAGTACAAGCAGAGGTGGGCAGTAGCGCACCTCATGTAGCGGCCGCTACATTTTCAGTAGCGGTAGCAGTAGCTGCACTACATTTAAGGCAATGTAGCGGTAGTGGTAGCGCCCGCTACATATTTAAGTAGCAATACGAGGTTTTGCCGCTACAGTGCTACCGCTACATTTATAGATAAAGCCTTTAGATTTTACTTAATAGTATTAAATACTATTTAAAAACCAGCATGATACATACATAACATAAATTACAGAATAAAACTGTATGAAAGATTTTGGTGTAATGTTGTCAACCTCAGCCTGTTACTAGTGTCAACATGTTAGTTGTTACTTGTTGCCACTTACAGGTATTTTTCACGTTTCAGTTTGCTTACAGTTATTTTTACATAGTTATTTTTATGTTTCACCTTCCCTACATGGATGTCTACTTTAATCTACCAATTTCAAAAATAAACCACATATATATACATATAAAACACTGATTTTTTATATGTATATGTGGATAATTTTTGAGATTGGTAGATTAAAGTAGACATCCATGTAGGGAAGGTAAAACATAATAATATACATTTAAAAATTACTTCTTAAATAAAACACTTCTAAAGAATCCAGTGTTTCCAATGTTACAGATGTACAATGAATTTATAATTTTATTCTCGAATATTAAAAAAATTAATTTTTCAATTTTTTAATACAAAATTTTTTTCCCAAATTATTTATTCTGTCAATTGATTCATGCATTGCCTCCAACTTCACACAAGTGTGCAAAATTTCATATCAATTGGACAGGTAAAAGTGTGTCAAATATCAATTATAAGATTTGTAGTTGATAAAATTATTTTTTCAGTTTTTTTTATATTGAAAAAAAATTTTATTCTTAAAATTATTTATTTTGTCATTTGATTCATGCATTGTCTCCAACTTTACGCAAGTGTGTGAAATTTCAGATCAATAGGATAAGTAGAAGTGTGTTAAATTTCAATTACAAGATTTGTAGCAGACAGACAAACAGACAAACAAGAAGTGAAGTTAAAGAGAAGCATTGTAAAAATAACTAACTTTTATTTACTGTATATAACCCATACTAGTTCGGTTAGATTAATTGCAATAAAGTTGCATTGATATGTTTTAAAAATGTTTTATTATTAATAAATGTTTATGAGTAAATCCCAATAGCAGAACAATAAATATTTAGAGATTTCCAATAATTTTGGCCATTGTAGCGGCTAATGTAGCGGCGCTACATTTTACTGTAGCGGTAGCGCTCGTTACAATCTAGTGGGTGTAGCGGTAGCGGTAGCGCCCGCTACATTTTGAGCATATAGCGGTAGCGCCGCTACATTTCAAAGTAGCGCTGCCCAGCTCTGAGTACAAGCTACTTGAATGCATTAAATTTTTTGCACTGAAATGCTATAAATTGCAGTGACTTGGACCATTTTGACATTTAAGAAAAGAAAACCCTACACTTAAAAAAGTTCTTGCCTCTGAAAAATTATGTTGATGGCTCTTGAAGTAGCATGAGTTAATCTACAAATGCAATAAAGATATATATATATATATATATATATAGTTATAGTTCCACTTTACCGGACTTTAATTAATTTTTTTTCTAAATTGCAAAAAATATATAAAAAAAACTTGACCTGGCTATATATATATATATATATATTATATATTTATTATGTGACTATTTGTACCTATCACAAAACCAAGCATTTTTGTTTTTGTCACCAAAAATTGTGCATAAGCATTCAGCTAGCAAACAAAAAAAAAACACACTGATGAAGGAGTAGGTGAGGAAAGAGATGCTTGCAAAGAAAAGTTAGCTCTTGGTAAAGAACTACATTGGGATATGCTTTTTGGCTTGGCATTGTCCATGTCTCCAGTCTCCACTCAGTGCCTCCTGGATGGATAAAGTTATGCATTCAAAGAATAAGTATGTACCATCAAACCGGGTAATAAGGGACAGTTTTGAGCGTTTTTTGTTAATAACTTCTTACCATGAAACATTCCATAAACAAGTTTGGGCTCATTTTAAAAGTCTTTGCAAGGGCTATTGTATGGCATCTCCAAAAAAATTCTATATGCTATTTGTAAGGTGCTAGACGCAATATAATAGGGTCCTGAATTAATCTGGAAATGGGGTAATAAGGGACACTTGAAAAAAAACTCAATTTTAAAACGTTTGAAGCATGCAGAGTGCACTCATCTATTACTAACAGTACTCTGAAGTCTTCCTCTTCCTTTGTAGATGATATAAATGCAGAATAAATGACATTTTCTGTGATTTTTACTTGGTTTTTCTTTATTGATATATTACCTTATCCATATATTACCATATTATTAATATGATATTACTGCATCCATGGACATGCCATTGAGCATTGACAACAACCTTGTCCACTTCAAGCTTCATATCAGCAGCCATGTAGCATTTCTTCTGTATCTGTAAGCTTACAGGATGGCTTGTAATTTTGCACAATTTTAATCGAGTCAAGTGATTTCACTATAACAAAAAATATTGTAAAAAACATAACTGAAGCATGAAGGAATATTTTAGTGACAACCATCATATTTTTTGGAGGAATAAATCATAGTTTAGGTTAATTACTTTTCACTCTTTGTTGCCCGGTGCTCACTTCTATCTATGACATTCAATGCACAATTTTGTGTGATGACTGATGCAGTAATTTTTTGTTAAGTGAATTTTTTTTCACTGAGCGAGGTAAATGTAATCAAAATTCTTTGTTGTTAATTGATTTTTTCAATAACTGGAGCCTTTGCTAACCAAGGTTCTACTGTAAATGCGACTTTAGGGGTGTCCCTTATTACCCCGTTTTGCAGAAATGGCCACCATTTTTTCTTGGAATGAGATATGCAAATTCTGTCAATTGCGTTTTAAAGCCAACACCAGTGTGCCACTTTTATGTAAGTAAAATTTTTCAATACAACAAATATTTTTTCTGCTACAGACCTTAGCAGAGGTACTTTTCCAAAATCTCACTTTTCACACTTTTTTCAGGGATTTTTTAGAGGTAATAAATGTATGATTTCTTAACTTGCTTTATGCAAGTTAAGCGTGCGCCATATATGGTGCACACTTGAAAAATTTAATTTTTTAGAAAAAGCTCTTTAAAATATCAGCCAGATCATAAACTTGTGAAAAATATGATGGATAATTGACAATAATGTTTTCAAAAACCTATATGAACGTCGTGCAATCGAATTATAAGAATTTTAGTAGTTGGAATGTAGCCTGAAATAATGAGTGGATACGAAAAAGAAAAAGTATTAAATAAAGGGGGTTATCCAGTTCCAATATGTTGAAAATCATTTTTTCGGTATAGGTATGGATTACAGCAGTAGAAAATCGAGTATTAGTCATTCGAAAGTTACCTAAGCTCAAACAGAAACAGAATGGCACTGTAAAAAGCAAGATAAACAGTGATACGGATTCCGAGTACTGGGCTAGCAATTGATAGTTACTTTTCTAGCTTTTAATCTCACTTTAGCACCAACTAACTTTTTTTTTTGCAATTATGTTAAAGCAAGACTCAGATCAGTATCTTGTCATGGCATGAAGTTCAGATCCTCAGCTTCAAATACTTTAGAGCTGGAACACCAACATCTAAAATTATTGTGATTTGGTTATATAAACATTTCTTCACGTGTCTGACCTATTACTAGTGAAAATACATTCAGTAATCTTCAACGACTTCAGCAATTCACATCGATTTTTACTGACTATAGAACTGATCATCAAGCACCCAGGCATTTGCTACAGTTTTACCAATAACTTGAACAGTTGTTGGTACCACTTCATGCTATGCTTAGAGCAGTTTTGTAAGAAATCATCTAAATGAATTATAAACTTCCCATTTAGCAGCATTTTACCCCAGAATGATTTGTAATTTGATTATTGCAGTCACAATCCGATTTCATTTGCACAGAAAATGTTTTTTTCAAGCGTTAGTACCCGTGTGATGCAAGTTTTTTATTGTAGTTGAATAATAAATACCGTGTACCTCATATGGCGCACGTTGCCTAGAAATATGAAAGTTTCCATCCCAGGCGACATGCACCAATAGAGGCTCACGGTTTTTATGTCAAAAGCTTGTAGAGCTCGCTCAGACAAGAGCAGCGCACTAGCCCTGATCTCACTGCCTTGTCTGTAACTCAAGTTATTCAAGTTTGAATGAGTCGCACCACAGGACAACAGGCTATTTTGTGAGTCGCAGTCAAAGTGTTAAAGTGTTCATGAGTTGAAATATATCCTTACAAATTGCAATGAATTTTTAGTATCAGTAAAGTTTACTTGAAGAATATGCCAAGTGTATTACAAAGAACTGACCAGTACAACAGAGCAGTGGCATAAGCGGAGTTCCCTCTTTGAAGGTTGGGTAGTTGTTGCATGTGGCAGGGGCACTTCTAGGCAGATCTCATTGTTGATTTTTGGAAATTTGCCTCGTTTCTGCCCCTTCTTGAGCAGTAAAAAGAAAATTGTGATCTAAGGAATGCAAATATATTTATACATAGATGCAGCTTTCAACATTATTTACTTTCATTGTATCATCATGGTCATTGGATTAGCATTGTAACCTGGTAAACCAGGAGTGTTTTTCTATTAAAGTATTGTTATTTGTAATATAAAAAATACTAAAAAATAGAGGTGAACTGAGAAGTAAGAATATGAGACATAGCAAAGTTGAATGTGAATTTAATACAGAAGCAAAATAGGCTTGATCAACTCTCTGGTTTGAGATAAAAGGCTTCATTTTTCACAATATATTCTCAACAAATATTTTAATGAAATACATATACCTTGTTTGATGCTGCTTGCTGTGTACGAGGAGCTCCGACATTGCTGCATCTCAATTTGTTGTGCCCTGGGCACCCGCATTGACTGCATTTTTGTTTCTTTCCACGTGCACCCTGAAACAAAATAAAAAATACAAGGCTTTACTAATGAGTTTTACCAAACCGATGGTGGGAAATTCAATAACTAAAAACTGCTGAATGCTACAGGAAGAATCAGCTGAACCAAGAACAAAGCCTTGCACAAAAAAATAAAGTTTGGGCAAAAAATATTTTCCTCACATGCAGTCACCAGTTTCTAGACAGTACACTTAGGAAACAATTATTATTATCATAATCATTAAAATATTATATTTATAATTATCATTTGGAGCATTTTTTTCAAGTACTGCTAATGAGTTTGATTTTGATAACATTTTTATAAGAAACTAGCTTCTATAGATTGCCAGTGTACAATTTTGAGGCAGGGAAACTCTTTGCAAAATGATTATTGGACAATTATTTATAATCATAAATTAAATTTTGTGCAAAGAGCATGGATATGAATAGCTTGCCTGAATTTTTAATAGCTTGCTCTACACCTTGATTGCATGAAATTAAACTTATATGATTTGCCTCATGACTTCTGAGACAATTAATTCCTGCAACTCTCAATAATTTTGGTAACTTTGATCCAAATGAAATTTATCAAAAAAAAAAAATAGAATTCAAGCCATGTTTCTAATTTTTGGTCAATCTTAAAAAGGTTTTCCACAAGAAAATATTTGTTTAATTTTTAAAAATAACTTATATATAAAATAACTTATATAAATAACTTGTATATATAAATATAAATAACTTATATAAGTTATATAATAACTTATATAAAATAACTTTTTTTATAAAATAACTTTTATAAAAATTTCCTTTTCATTTTCATATGTAGGTAATTCAACTATTATTGGTGGCTTTGGTCAACGAAATCCCTGGAATTTTTCCCAGAATCCTACAATCAATATCATGAAAAGAAACAATTGGATAAAACTTTATGCATATACAGAAAATGTCTCTAGTTTGGGTGGGTGAAACACTACCTAGTTCTCTAAATTTGGTGGGTTATAAAAATTCAGCATGGATGTAAAAAATTAACTGGGTGCATGGCACCTGAATCCTGTAAGCTTTAACCCATACCTATACGTTTTTGGAACTGATTTTTCAATAAAGATATTAACAAATTATTTTAATAGTTATTGTTCATTGCAAAAGCAAATCAAGCAACTTGACTATCATTGCTCAGATTATTTTGTTGGTTTTACCAAACAGTTACAAACTTTTTCCCCAAGCAGTTACATAAACACATGTGCACAGTATTTATGTACAGAGTGGGGCAGATAATCTTGCTAATTTGAATTAGCCTTCCTGAAGTGTGATTTGCTACAATAACTTCAAGGAGGGGCTTAATCAAGAGTGCAAAATGTTAAGATTTGTTTGTATGATGAGCTGCATTAATTTCTTTTCTTTTCTTCTTTGCAGTAGTCATGGAATGGACGAACACTTCCACTTGGAATGTTCGCACATGGAATGGTTTACACTTCCATGTTTCACCTTGTGACCATGTATCATGACAGACTCAAGAACCTGAACCATCTCATGAATAACATTTGTGAAGCCATCACCAACATTCCTATTAAGATGCTGGAATAAGCAACACCAATTTCTGAACACGAGTGACACAATGTATTGACTAATACTCCGTACTCATCATTTGCATGATATCATCTTTAAAACAGGCAAATTGTGAAATTTATTTGGTCTTGATTATGTTATAACAAAAATTTTTTAGAGTATATTCAATACTTTAGTTACAAGTTTCAAATGAGCATGCTTCTCTGCCCCACCCTGAATATACCATCAAACAGGGTAATAAGGGATGGTTTTGAGCGTTTTTTGTTAATAACTTCTTTCCATGAAACATTTCATTAAAGAGTTTGAAATCATTTTGAAGGTCATAGCTGGAGCTATTGTATGGCACCTCCAAAAAAATTCCATATGCTATTCTTATGGTAGTTGCCAGATGCAAAATAAAAACCACCCAAATTACCCTTGGGCACAGGGTAATGAGGGACACTTGAAATAAAACTTAATTTTAAATGTTTGAAGCATTCAGAATATACTCGTGCCTTACTAACAGAGTAACAGTACCGGTACTCTGAAATCCTCCTCTTCCTTTGTAGTAGATGTAGAATAAATGACATTTTCTATGATTTTTTCTAACTTTCCCTTTATTGATATGATATTACCGTCAACCTGGGCTACTCAGGACGGACGGGGTAACTCAGGACAGTCTACCGACACGGCGTAAAACTGTTTTAGTAGCAAAACTAATTGGAATATTGCAAAGCTAAATATAGTGGCATAAACATCAACATTTTTCCTATCTATGTAGTATAAAGGAAGTTTAAAAATACTACCTTTACTAGATTTGAAAAATTCCTGAAAAAAATGGTGAAAAACGATATTTTGAAAAGTTACTTCTGCTAGAGTTTGTAGTAAAAAAATATTTGCCGTATTAAAAAATTTTGCTTAGAAAAAAGTGGCAGACAAGTGTCAGCATGAAAACTTTATTTGTGGAATTTACATACCTCAATCCCAAAAAAATGGCTGCCATTTCTGCACAGTGGGGCTACTCGAGACACCCCCGGGGCTATTCGGGACACCCCCAAAAATGCATTTACAGTGAACCTCAGTTAGCAAAGGCTCCAGTTAAGAAAAAAAATTAATTAAAAACAAAGAATATTGATTATATATACCTCGCTTAGCAAAAAAAATTTCACTTATCAAAAAATTAGTGCAACATCAGTCATCACAAAATTGTGCATAGAATGTCATATATAGAATTGTGCACCAGGCATCATAGAATGAAAAGTAATTGACCTAAACTATGATTTATTTCTCCAAAACATATGATGGTTGTCACTTAAACATTCCTTTCTGTTTCAGGTATGTTTTTCACAATATTTTTTTATAGTAAATTCACTTTACCCAATTAAAATGGCGTGAAATTACAAGCCGTCCTGTAAGCTTACGATACAGAAAAATGCTATAAGGCTGCTGATATGAAGCTTGCAGTGAACAAGGTTGTTGTAAATGTTCAATGGCATGTTGGTGGATACGGTAATATTGCATCAATAATATGGTAATTAATGTATATGGTAATATCATATCAATAAAGGAAAAACAAGTAAAAATCACAGAAAATGTCATTTTTTCTACCTCTACATCATCTACAATGAAAGTAGAGGACTTCAGAGTACTGTTAGTAATGGATGAGTACACTCTGCATGCTTCAAATGTTTTAAAATGAAGTTTTATCCCAAGTGTCCCGAGTAGCCCCGTTCAACGGGGCTACTCGGGATACCTTTTTTTGCTTCTGGCACCTTACAAATAGCATATGGAATTTTTTTGGATATGCCATGTGATAGCCCTTGCAAAGAGCTTTGAAATGAGCCTAAACTTGTTTATGGAATGTTTCATGGTAAGAAGTTATGAATGAAAAACATTCTAAATCGTCCCAAGTAGCCCCGGTTGATGGTACCTTATCCATGCATTAACGTATTATTGATGTGATATTACCGTATCCATGGACATGCCATTGGGCATTGACAATGACCTTGTCCACTGCAAGCTTCATATCGGCAGCCGTATAGCATTTCTTCTGTATCTTGAGCTGACAGAAGGGCTTGTAATTTTGCACCATTTCAATTGAGTCAAGTGAATTCTCTATAACAAAAATAAAGATAGTAAAAATCATGCCAGAAACAGAAAGGAATATTCAAGTGACAACCATAATATTTTTTAGAGAATAAAATCATAGTTTATGTTAATTACTTTTCATTCTATGTTGCCTGGTGCACAATTATTTCCATGACATTCTATGCACAATTTTATGATGACTGATGATGCATTAATTTTTCATTAAGTGAATGTTTTTTGCTATGTGACATACCTATATATAATGAATTCTTTGTTATTAATTGATTTCTTTTTAACTGGAGCTTTTGCTAACCAAGGTTCTACTGTACTGTTTTTAGGGGTGTCCCTTATTACCCTGGGAGCTGTTCCATATTGCCCCATCATGTGGAAATGGCCACCATTTTTTTTATTCCATATTGCCCCATCATGCAGAAATGGCCACCATTTTTTTTAATGAGCTATGCAAATCCCCTCAATCACATTTTTAAGCCAACACCTATGCACAACTTTGATGTTAGTAAATTTTTTTAATATGGCAAATATTTTTTTGCTACAAATCTTAGCAGAAATACTTTTTCCAAAATCTCACTTTTCACAATTTCTTCAGGGATTTTTTAGAGGTAGTAAATGTATGATTTCTTAACTTCTTTATTCTACATAAATAGGAAATATATTAAACTTTGTCCCAATATTTTTAGTTTTTTAATATTTCAAATAGTTTAGCAGCTACAACATTTCTGCGAAATGTTGGATTACAGTATTGTCGCTTATTATCCCGCCCGTCCCTTATTACCCTGTTTGAAAGTATACACATAGCTTGAGTCACAACAATGTCTGAACAAAAATGACTGTCAATCATACAGCTGTTGAGGACACATACATTATCATGGTACAAAGTGGCTAACAAGACACTTCATAGTTGTATTTCTTTTTTAATTACCTACCTTAACTGCTTCCAGATTCAATTTAGAAACTTACTAATGATAATGCTAATGATAATGTAATCATGATACTTGAATGACACATTGAACATGAAGCCATTAAAATTTTCATATAATAATTTAAATAAAAACAGCATTATTTTCCATAAATGTGGGTGTGTTGGAGAACACAAAAAATTGAAATTACTTAAGAACATAATTAACAATTTATCAACTGAGAACTGTGAGTGGCTAGCATTGATGGAAATCCAAATATAAACAAAAATTTGTTGTCAGAAGCAGTCGCTCCATCCCTAAGATGACAATAAAGGGTGGTTTTATATGAAAAAAGGTTTAAAAATATAACTCAGTACTCATGCAGTGAGTGACAAAGAGCGCATTTTCTCATAGACAAAAACGTGAAGTCATGGACACAGACGGACAGATGGACATGACGAGTACAATAGCGCCTTTTTCCATAAATGAGAAAATGTGCTAAAAATAGTTCATGACTTTGCATGCTCCACCTTGCATCAAGTTTTGACAAGCAGAAAAGACTTACCCAATGAACAGGTTTCTTCATATTAAATTAGGATTTAAAAGTAGTCCTTTTGTCTGTATGGGATATTCATGTCAACACATCTGTTATAAGAGAATTAAAAGATTAGACATAGTAAAAAGTAGGAATGACATGATTTTGTGTACTACCTATACTGAATCTTGAGTAATATTGATGTGCACATTATAGAAGATAAAATTCAAATTTAACCATTGGCTAGTCATATTTAAACTGCTTGCTGTGATGGCCAGGACAGTACCTGCTTTACCTTGTTGTACTTTGCTAGGCAATGGAAGATGCAGTAACAAATAGACATCAAGGATAATATTATGGGCTGGAAATAGACTATTTCTTTATATATTTATTATATTTATATACCTATAGATTTGTTATGGATTTTTCATTCAAATGAAAATCAAAACAGAATGTAGACAAGGGGCCAGTCCTCTCTTCCATAAGGCTGCTGGCTGCAATCCCAGTTATTGATTATTCCACCTAACTCCATCAGACAGTACAAGATTTCCTACAAAAAATGTCTCCTAAAAATTGTTGTTTTTATCTCATCCCTAGGTCAACCAGTTTTAATTGTTTTTTAATGCAATATAGTAATTCTCTTCAATTTTTTAATAATTATAGCTATCAAAAATTGGTTTGATAACCCCTTCAAGGCAAAGTTCACTCTGATCAATTAACTGGAAGACTTAGAAAAACTATTCATTTTGAGAAATATTTTCTCTGTTCTTCCTTATTTTGTATATTCCAAAAACTAAAACAGATACACATAAATTTTAAAAATTATATAGCCACCAGTCCCTAAACATTTAAATGAATTAAATAATTCAGTGATACCTTTAGTTGAAATCAATTTAGTAATTGAGTATAGTATTTTGCTAAAGCTGTAATTTGTAAGAGGTTTTCAGATGGACAGTGAACAATTTCTCTTCTAATGCATTTGAATGAGAACAAGAAGCCCAGACAGGGCCAGCCTTAACTCTTCCTGATTTTTCTGGTGAGGTGTATGGGAAATCACTTCCAATTGAACCTCTTCCTTGTGATAATTTTAATGAACTTGAAATAATATAGTGTCTCAAATTCTGAACTCTCAAGCACTAAAAGTATCTAATGCTAAAATAACCTGCAAAACTCTTTATGCACTAGCAGACGGCAGTGGAAAGGTGGAAGTATATAATACCTACTTCAGGCTACTTGCCTTGAGACTTGAGAGCAGTATGGAATTCGAGAATGATCATTTATACGTCCAAGAATACCTACCTATTTACACTTAGTAGTATTACCCACTACCAAGTAGTCAGTGCTACTACTACCCACCCCTGCCCCTTGCCGGGGAGGGCCTTGCGAATGGCCGCACAGGCAGGATAGAAAAATTCGTCCTTTTACTACAGTTGCATGTCCTAATTGTGCGCATCAAGGTATATTTTAAATATATTCAACATTTTTAAAGGGTAAAGCTACACTGTGCAGTTTTACTAACAAATATAAAGGATATAATAATTAATCATGCACATGCAGGAGTGTCCCTGGTAGGCCCTAGTCATCGCAGCAGAGACGGAGAGCTTCTTCCAAGAACACGCAAAAAAGAGAGCAGGCCTTTATTTTTCAACAACAACAGTGCAATGAGTTACTGGGCCAGGACGGCCACAATTTTAGTTAAATCAGATGTTACATCAAAGGGTATAATAATATCAACGACTCAACGGCTGGGCTCCGCCACTCGCCACTGGACTGTAATCACTGTATATTTTTTTTTTTTTTTATAATTAGGTTTAAAGGCTTCGAGTGCTTTTGCACTGCCCAGCCTGATCTCAGTCATTAGTTGGGGATAAAAGGAAGAGACTTGGGCCAAGCCCAAGCTAGAGAGCTCTGGGTAAGAATGTGGATGCAGCAGGCACCCAAGGTCAGGAGACTCTTTTCATGCTTCAGAGGTGTGAACCTCAGAGAGTAAGTTTGTCATGCTAATTTCCAAGAACATGCGAGCCCATGCAAAATGAGTCACAATGCTGACTGGAGAAGGCATGCAGAGTTTCATCAAGACATTAAAGTGCAGCATGCATACTAATTACCCTTATCAGCAAGAACAAGAGAAACATGCAAAGTTGGAACATGCATTGCATCAAGAAAAAAAATAAATAAATAATTCAGAAGAAAAAAAAAAAGGATCAACAGGGAGAGCATCCACTTAATTAATTTCTTTAACACAGGTTAAATCAGGGCAACCACTCCACATTGCTGCAAATATTGCTGCAGGTATGAGAATATCTGATGACGCTGTTGGTTGGTGACGCCTGCTCCTAGGGCTGCCTGCAGCCCCCAAGGAAGCCCCTAAAAAATACGTTTATTAGTTTTAATTGAAAACTAATTTATCCAAAAATCTGTAATAATTCCTGCCGCAGCGTATCGATAATAACTACTCATATTCCAAAATTGAGGCTAATCCGTTCAGTATTATAGGAGTTATGAGTGTTTCAGTCGATCAAAAAATACGTTTATTAGTTTTAATTGAAAACCAATTTATCCAAAAATCTGTAATAATTCCTACCGCAGCGTATCGATGATAACTACTCATATTCCAAAATTCAAGCAAATCTGTTCAGTATTGTAGGAGTTATGAGTGTTTCGGTTGAGCGTGTAGTTAGGTTTTGCGTTTGAGTCCGCAGGCGAGTCCGCTGGCGAGTCCGTAGAATTGTCGATCGAGTATCCAAGTACAATAAGTGCCATATAGAGAACAGAGCCATTTCAGTCATTTAGTTGCAGGGGAGCGGCACAATATATTACCCAGATAGCTATTAGATACATCAAAATTCGTGTAACTCCCACTGCTTTTAACCCTGCTTTTAACCTGTCTTTTACTGCTTTTACCCCTGATAATAAGAAATACTGTATCCTGCCATAAATAATAAAAGTAAAGCGATTTCAGCGTTTATTAGGCCGTAGGCCTGTCGCCGATTCTTAACATCGCAGAACATTCACAGTATTTTGTGGTCTCGAACCCGCAACTCACTGCTACAATTCCGCTTTGCTTAACCGCCCGGCCTCCTTGCCGATTCTGACCAGAAACTGGCGCACAGAGCTGGGATCGAACCCACACCTCTCTGCTCCAATCTAGGGACTCTCCTTAACCACTGGGCCACCCTGCCCAGATAATAGAAATAGAATCGTTAAGGGGAGCGTCAGAGTCAGAAAAAAAACTTTTTTATTTACGGACAGATCACTTTGAAACTTGGTACACACGTGTAAAACAGCAATCTTAGGCCTTTTGTTCATCTAAATTCTTAAAAAAAAGAAAGAAAACCTGAAATTGTTAGAAAACGGAGAAAAAGGGGGTACCGTAGAAAACTATCACCTCCTAGGATTTTCAAGGCTACAACATCGAGACGCATATCATTCGATGTGTAAAGACCATATCTATCGATTGGTTTCTATCTATCTTAGTTTTTTTTCGAAATTCTATATTTAGTCGGTGGGGAGGCATTTTTCGTGAATTTTTTATTTCCCTCCCCCCCGCCCCCCGACTTTTTTCAAAATATCTTCAAAACTATAACGAAATTGAAAAAAGCTAAGACCATATTCTAGATCTTTCATTTGCAAATCGAATGATTTATCTTTCATTTCTGTAGCTCCAAAACTGTAGGAGGTAATAGGTTTGTAGTGAGAGGAAGTGCGATGTTCAGGAATATCCAGGACAGCCGACAAACGGCCGGCCGGTCGCACCGCGCTAGATATAGCCATTTCCCGTAGCTATGGCAGCGAATTTACGTGTTCTTTCAATTAGAAGCGAGTCAGCGACGTAGAGAACGACTGCATGCACAACTACCCGCATTACAGTTCGGAGGTAACTAAGCTGTAGGACGTCGCCCGTCAGACCAGGCTTTTATGTACAGGCTCCGTTAATATTTCCGGTAGGGATTTGTGAAGGACTCGACGAAAGGTAACTCTTTTGGGGTCTGTCGTGAACGCATAAATCAACGTACAGAGATTAATTTGGTACCGTTACATAGGTCAGAATGTCAGCTTTAAGATGGACATGAAAACAGGAAAATCCGATAAGAGTCGATTTTGGACCCAGACTCTCCCCTTTACAGGAAACGCAGGGTAAAATCTAGGAATGCACGTAATCTTGAAATTATTGAACAGTAACAACATGAGTTGCTTCAGAGGATTTATACCGCATTCGAACAATGAAATAACTCCAGCATAAAGGTACATCAATTGGAGAAGGGTGGCCAAAACGTCCTTGTTTACGACGTTTGCCACGCAAGTCGCGATGATAAACTCCAAGATGCTGCTCTCAGCAGTCGAGGCTCTTGGCGCAGGGGCCCCGCGATCACCTCCGAAGTCACTGGTACTAAACTTCTTTTTAAAACGTTTTTCTTAGCTTAGCTTCGCGTTTGTTTATTTGTTGTTAAAATTGACAACGAAAATTAGCCCACTTCTGATTGCTCTAGAGATCTGAAATTCGGCATGCAGGCTATTGTTGCCTAACAATTTCAGACACAATCATAAAAACTTGCAATTAGAGACCTAAATTAGCTTAATCGAGTAAAGTATATATATAGTATATATATAGTATGACGTGCGGGCGCTGACGTTATAGACGAGCAGGCGCTGACGCTGCGTAGCATCGATACGTACGTCAAGTCATGCTTTTTAGTCCGTGCAGCAACGGACTAAAGAAAATAAAATACTTAAAAATACTTTTTTTAAAAACACGTTTTTCTTGTGGACTAAAAAGTAGAAAATAAATTATGGCTCGCCCCAAAAACGTGTGGGTCGGGCTGTACGTTTACCATCAAATTTCCAAAATTCGTGTGTTGTGTGCTTTTCGCTTTAATCATAAATCTGCCCGACACACGTTTTTTGGGGCGAGCCATAATTTATTTTCTACTTTTTAGTCCACAAGAAAAACGTGTTTTTTAAAAAGTATTTTTAAGTATTTTATTGGACAATGCGCTCAGTCGTCGTTGGGATTGGTTCCCAACATCCACCGCTGTAGTCTCTGACTAAAAAACGTACACACATGTAGCAACCTGTGCACACCTGTGTACGAATGCTGTGCCGTGTGC